GCAGATAAATAGAGCAGAGTTTGGACATAATAAAGAGGGGGGGCTTTTGAATCTGAAAGAAAGATCATTGTTTGAGAGTTTAAAAAGGGTTGGCTTTTGAAAACACCACTCTTTCAAGAAGTCACACGTTTGAAAATCAATGGAAAAAGGTCCTAAAATCAGTCTAGGATAGATGTTAAGTTAGTTATTGTTTCTTCTTTAGCTTGGGAGAATCAGTTTAAAAGGAAAAAAGGTTAGGCATTCATGGAGTTTGTTACTGTGCCATTGGGGTCCAGAGTTGTTGCTGATTTGATTTTGAGTAAGCTGGGTCTGTTGTAGCTGTTTGGTTTCCTTCCTAAAGTTGAAACTAGTGTGTTGTCTAGTTAAAGTTGACTCTTGGACTGCTTTCTGCTACTCTTTTGGTTTGAAGTTGGTTTCAAGTTAGGTTTATTTTGGGTGATGTTATTGCTGTATTGGTTTGTTTGTGTTGTTGTTTGGTATAGTTGGGGAATTTTTAATTGGTTTTCCTGAGTTGCTGCTGGATATTTGTTACTGTTGTTGTTGTGTTGTGCTATCTGTTGTGCTGATCATTCCTTCTTCTTCTCCATTGTATTCCATTTCCAGGTACACATTCTAAAAAACCTGTGTTGATGTAAGCTCGAATTTGAAGTTGAAGTTGAGATGAAATGGAAATGCAGCTGTTAGTTCTATTTGACATGACTGTGTAAATAAACTGAAACTGTTTCTTTATTAGCTAGATTATCACTCGATATGTCTTGAATGTATATATGCATGTGATCTCGAGCAGTGGTTGTATTTAGTTTTATGTTAGGTTAATAGGATAGTTAGATTAATTTCAATTTTGGTAATTTGTTTCGTGAAGTCATTTGAAAGCGATTCACGTTGCAATAAACCTTTAGTAATGGTCTTCATGTGTTTTGTACTAAAATAGGACTGTTTATTTGCTACATCATGGCATGTTAAAATTGGCCCATAAAGAGTGTTGTGGTTATTTTGTTCAAGTTGTTCCAAGTAGAACGACGTACTGCTTCCACTATAAAATCAGGATGTTTACCTAATGACATGCAAATGAATAAGTAAATGCTTGACTTCAGGGACTCGATCCCTCGATCTATCCTATGCAGTTTGGCACGCCCCATTCGGTTTTGGGCTTGCCTCAAGGCCCACCTGTTGTTGTTCGTTCACAAGTAGAATTAGTTGGCCCATTTAATTTGGGCCTGATTTAAAGGTTTCAGTAGATAGTTAACACAATATAAGTTTGGGGCTTTGAGTTAGGTAGCGGTTTCAAATTAAAAGGTTCGTCCTTTTGTTTGGACTCGAACTTGAACTCGAAGCCCACTTTTATAATATTAACTAATTAGGACTTCTTCTCTTTTATTTTAGAGACGAACTTAATAGAAAATGTAGTCACTTTAGGATTGTACTTTTAAAATAAACGAGATGAGTCTTGCCTAGTAAAATACATAGATTGCGGGGCCCTCACAAATATATGTATTAATTACTTAGAATTCGGGATCGGCCGCTTAGCAAACTTCACGGACTTTTTCCCAAAGTAACCACGCGTTAATCTCTTTAGGCGCGTACTTTAAATAACATTACCTTCTCAAATTCGGGTGCACATTTATGTGACCCAAATCCAAATCCCAACGGAGTCGAAATGTGTCGCTAATCACGGGTACATTGATTGTGACGTGGTTCAAGATGCATTTCCACGACGTTGCAAATTCCTTTAAAAATAATGAATGAGACGAGTCTCGACAAACAAAAGTACACAAGCTACGGGGCACTCTATACGTGTTGGTAAAATTACTTAGATTTCGGATGGGCCGTTTAGCAAAATTTCACGGCTTTACCCAAAATAATAATACACTAGTCGCTTTAGGCGCGCCTTTAATAACATTACTTGCCTAAACTCTNCTCCCAAGTGGCGACTCTAAATTAAATAATAAATCCCGTTTCAATTGTCCTTTAATTGGAAAAACTCCCCTAATCCTTCTGCGCCCCTGTGGGCGCGGGCCAAAAGGAGGTGCGACACCTTCAACATTCTTTTTCATGGTAGCCAGGGGCCCATTAGTGACAATGTCCCATAGCTCATAGTCTTCTCCGATGATGTGATCTTTCATCCTGTTTTTCCACCAAGAGTAGTACTATCCATTAAAGAGTGGAGGCTTATCAGTGGATTGCCCTTCCCAGTTTTCAGGTAGTGCACTCATCTTGATCTTTTCCTAAGTTGTTAGCCTCTTCAAGGATAACATGCTCTGATACCAATTGATGATTTATACTTCAATACCACATGAGAGGGGGGTGATTTGTATGGTGACCAATTTTTTGCTTAAACAGATTATGGAAGGACCTGGTTCTTCTATGTGTTCCTTCTACCACTGTTGCGGAATAATAAATGTAGAAAGTAAAGAACACAAGTATTTTACATGGAAAACACCCGACTCAAAAGGTAAAAAAATCACGACCTACTACTCAGTAGGATTTTCCCCAACACTTTACTAAATCACTGAGCCAAAACAGCATTTACAAAACTCTTTATAAACCTAAGGATTACCTCTAATCCCATTGTAGCAACCAGCCTCTAACTGTTGCGACAACTTCAAGTTAACTCTAACTTGAATAATCAAAATACCTATTACAATTGCTTCTAGATAAAGTTTAAAGGCACAATATGAAAACGCCTACTACAATTGCACTAGAAATAAAGAAAGACACATAAAACTCTTTATGGAGTTGGTTCTTCAATCTGGTTCATGTAGCTTCAGGTTTGCACTCTTGAATCACACACGAACTGCTTGCAAAAAGCCTTGATATTTTGCTCTAAATTCACGTTTAACTTCTGCATTTTTGTGCAACACATGTAATGTGAGAACATCCTGAAATTTATAGAGTTAGTAGATGAAGAAATAACTAGAGTTCTGATGCAACTCATCCTTGGTAGAAGAGTTCTAGTTGATCTCAACTTCTAACTCCTTCCCTATCTTAGATAATGTTCTCTTTGAGTAAGGATTCCTTATCCTTATCAATTATGCAACCTTTTCGATCAGGAGATATTAAATATAGCAAGTTAAGCTTATCTCCTTCACGTGCATCCCACATATTCGAATCTGCCCGTTTTTGTGCACCTGAGGGATGGACCTGAAGGATGGACCTGGTTCATGCCTGAGCTTCCTTTGTTAATCTTCAAAACTAACCTTCACTTGGGCCAACAAAACAGGATTTGGTGTTGGGTTATTACGAACAGAAGATTTGAAGCCGCCCGCCTATGGTTTGAGTTCGCCTTTGGAATTTGACCACAGACAATGATTGTAGATATGGATGGAGACCTTGATGCTACTCTTTAGAGCTTTTTTAGCCTTTCCTTCTGCTTACTTGCTTTCAAAGAATCAAAACTTGAAAAGTTACATCCTTTAAGAATTCACGGATAAATTCCTTGAGGATTAGCCGCAGTCGACTTTTGAAGCTGGTATACATATCTGACATTTTGATTTTACAGCACTGTATATTGTCATCAAAAAGTATATATCTCAAGATAGGAATGTCAAAATTGTGGGCCGTCTGCGCCATTGGAAAGAAGACTCAGAGATAACAAAATCCTCAAGATATCATAGAAGAATTCCTTCCGCAACAAGTTTCCGAACTTGACCCATCTGTCCGCGAAATTGCTTTTTAGCTTTGCACGCTTTGGTGGAAAAATTTATATCTCGAGTTAGGAGACTCCGAATTGGGATCCGTTTGTGCCATTAGAAAGTATACTCATAGAGCTGCAATACGTATGAGTTTCGTGGCAGAACTTCTTTCGAGCTGGAAACAGAAAATTCTCAAATCCACCTAGATGCAGTAACTTTCAGATTTGTGTAGTTCCGACAACAAAAATCGTATCTTGAGCTAGGAGCCTCCGAATCGTAAACGGATCATGTTGTTGGAAACTACACATCTAAACCTACAACATATAAAATTTTTGGGGTAGAACGTCTTCCGGATGGACCACAGAAGTTTTCCAAAGTTGATCTCGTCATCCGTTGAGCTCGCTTCCCATCTCTATGCTCTCTGAATTGTCCTATGAATGTTGTTGTTTTCTTGAAATTGACTCTAAAGTCTTGAATATAGTAACTTTAGCTATTATGCTTCACAAATCTTATCTCTTTATTTATTTCTTTTGCAGACTTGCAAAGAAGTTCAACGAGTCTAGATATCAGTCTGAGATGTCATACAAGATGCGGAGTCACCCCTTCACCAACTGTTGCACTTGATTTGTTGACGGTTTTGAAGTTTATCAATGGAGGCTCCCGTGGTGATTGAAGGTTTTTCAAGAGAGATGACTTCTTATATATGAGGCATTGAGGATAGTGTATTAAAATGTGGAGACATCAAGCATTCAAGACGAGTCGGCCACAAAGGCTAGTTTACGGTCATTTTCATGACTTAGGCTTTTGTAAGGAAAACGTCTAATTCCTTTTATCTCTACATTTTTTGATGTATCAACTTTTGTACTATTGAAGCAATAAAACATCTTTTATACTTCAAAGCAAATCGTCTCTTTTCCTCATAGATATATGCCTCTACACTTGGAAGAAATAATGTAATGATCTGATGACGCCAAACTTTCATTACAAGAAAATGGGGTTATTACGATGGTTATTTTAGCATATAATGGCGGTTTGGAACCGCCCTAATACACATTAACAGTGGCTTTTGAAATCGCCACAATCCCGTCCGCCAAAATTATATTACGGCAATTTTGAAAAACCCACCGTAATTACATGTGAAAACCACCGTATTTTAACCGTTTCAATTGTGGCTTCTTTTTTTCATATTAAGGTGGTTTAAACCGCCGTAATTTTAATTTTCTCTACTTCACAATCCTGTATTTTCACATTTAGAATCCTATTTATTGAATGTTATGCTTTGAAACTTCTGTAGCACTTCATAATCATTTAAACCCAATATAGAAAATTAAATAATAAAAATATTCATTATATGAAACACAAGTATACTAAAATTGCATCATCCAAATATTAATGCTTCAAAGTATTTCAACAGAAATATCCAAAAGATTCATTGTTGATCCTACAAAATAATCACAAATTCACACTTACACAAGTATAACAAAATTACTTCATCCAAATATTAATGCTTCAAAGTGTATTTTCACAGTCATATCCAAAAGATCCATAGTTGATCCTATAGAATAATCACTAATTCACATTTGGACGATCATCATTGTTACTTTCATCTAAAGATCTTCTTACTTTCATCTAAAGATCTTCTTGGTTCAACTGTTGATGGTGCATCACTTCCTAAATCTGGTGCCTGAAAAAAAGGAAGAAAAAATACAGTCAATAAGCAAATAACTAAAATTTTAACAGGTGAACTAAAGTAGTAGGACTGGATATACAGAAATCACATTGAAATCAATGAGTTTAATCACCAAAAAGGTAACTACACGGCTTAGGAAACCACTTTATGTTAAAAAAGAACGATAAGAAAAGCAAATAACTAAAATTTTACTGTAGTAAGAGAACTTATACCTGTGGAGGAGTGGAAAATAAGTGAGCAAACTCCTCGGGATATTCCCTATGTTCCTTTCATATAAGCTAATCAGTGCATTTAATTTTGATTTCACATCTGTCATCTCTTGCTGCCACTCCGGAGTTGGAGCGGTAGTGCTAGATGAACACACATAACCACGACAGTATCTCACATATGTCTGTTTGAATGCTACGGTTGGAACTACACCCAAGCCTAAACCTCGAACACAGCCGAGGTGCTCGGGACTGAATACTATGCCAAGTGCATCAGGCCGTACTTGTTGGCAACCTCTCATTATTTGCAGATGAAGAAGCCAAGCAAATATTGGAACTTAAGTTTGACTTCCCAACCATCATGTATAGCTGGAGAGATTACTCTCAGAGAATAACCGGTTGTCAAAATTTCTTGGCTGAATTTGAGAAAACTAAGTCATTGTTGGAAACTTCAACTAAAGAGGAGGAGGATCTCAAGGATAGATAACTGGAGAACAAGGAGAAGGTATTGATAGATAACTGGAGAACAAGGAGAAAGAATACTCAATCACTTGAAATTCATATGTACCTATAACATCAACAAACCAATGAGGCTCTTCATTGCTAGTACTACGTCCAGTTTGTCGTGAAGAAACTGCACCAGATGATGAAGATGGAATGGCGGGCTGAGAAGATACCCCATCAGATGATGAAAATGATACAACATGCTGCGAAGAGACTCCATTAGATGATGAAGATGGAACACTGTGCTGCGAAGAGACTCCATCAACTGGAATAACAGGCTGTGTGGGTTGTGTAGGCAGTGTAGAATGTAAAGAGACTCGATAAGATGTTGAAGATGAAGCTTGAGCCTGTGATGACTGCCTCGGAACAAGTGAAGATCTCTCTTTGACTGATTTGAATTAATTTTTAACCCTATTTTGCTTCGGCATCTCTACATACATAAAGGTATATAAAGCAAAACAAGAAAACCTTGATACGAAATCAGTTTAAATTTCAAGATAAAAATAACTTAAAGCTTAATTAATGAAAGAAAGTAGCTAGATGCAAGAACATAAAGCAAGTTAAGAACAAAAAAGGACATAGCTATAATCTAAACTAATTTGAAACGAAAATATATTAAGATGCTTCCAACTAACCCGTGCTCAAAAGCAAAAATCCAAAAATTGTCTTAGACCATCTATATATTCAGGTGTGTTTCGTGGTTTGCTGATCCAATATTTATCAATTGGCATGGCTAAAAAGGAAGACATAAGATAACATCACAATATCAAAACTAAAAAGATAGTTCAAAAGCAAAAAAACATAACCTGTGAAATAACACCACTTACAGAGGACAAAACAGTGGACAGAAGACATTTAAAATGAAAGTACTCCTGATGACCAGTGGTCAAACTTCAGCAATCAATTTACTCCTATTAATATTCTCAAATAAAAATTAATGTAAAACTGAAAAAGGAGGGAGAAGCTTAATAGGATTCAAGAACAACAACATATAGCTACATGAATCACTAAATGTGCAGAACATGTAGGATACCAACAACATACTTATCAACTAGTCATCCAAGTAAGCAGGTTAAATACAAAACATGGGCTACAGGGAAATAATTTATAAGATCAACATAATGTCACAAGTAGACGAGTCAAGTTAATCTAGAGGTACAAAGACACCAAGAAAAGTTCAAGAACATGATGCAATTAGCTTAGATGATATGATACTACTGTTTAACTAATAGAGGTAGATTATGCACAAAATCAACATAAAGGTTAACTCAGCTAATCATAGAGACTTAATAAGATTAACCATAAGTCTATCACTTAATATAGAAGAAGGCAATCAGGCAGGGTAGCGAAACACTTTGGGAATTTGGATTTGAATGTGGAGTTCAGTAATGAGCTTGAAGAGCTTATAATTCAGATAAGCCTATGAAATCTATTACTATGTAAACAAACATAAATGAGCACAAAATAAATGAACAAGCTTGGAAGATCTTCAATTGTGCCCTCAACCCTTCAAACACAAGGGCAAATACTGAATTTCAACTAAAATTAGAATGACAAACTCTCATTTAAAACATTAACTGAGACTAGGAGAAATTGTCAATTTTTGTTTCCCTCTGTGAACATAGCCAAAGAAGGAGATGACAAGGCGAAGATTGAGGCAGTTAACGCCATTTAAGTATCCAATAAATTTTGTGTGCAATGTTTAACTAAAAATGCACAATCAATTTGAGATCTTTTGTAATTAATTGTCACGACCCGAAATTCCCACCCTCGGGAGTCGTGATGGCGCCTACTCGTAGAAGCTAAGCAAGCCACGAATCATAAACTCCAAACTCCTTTATTTTAAATTCTTTTTATCAAGCATAACATCAGGCATTAAGTATTTAAATAACAGCGGAAATATGGAATTAAAGCGGAAGACTTAAATTAAATAACTACAAGTAATAAAAGAAACAACATAACTCGGATATCAACAAAGAATCAGAAGTCAACAAATGCACGGCATCATCCTTCGTGCTTTTACTCTCTTTCCTCACCATATAATCAATAAAATCGGCACGGAATGGTACATCGTGCAGCACGGCATCACCCTTCGTGCTTTACACTCTTTCCTCACAATAACAAATAATGCACGGCATCATCCTTCGTGTTTTAACACTCTTCCTCACCCAAACAACAATCACAAGCAAGGGGTAAGGGAATAAACAAAATAGTAATAGAGGTCCCAGCAAGGGAACAACAGTTAAACGATTAAATCCCGCCAAGGGAACATCAATTAAACAATTAAATCCCAATAAGGGAACAACAAATAATTTAACAATAGCCCGACAAGGGTGTCAACATATGATCTCTTCTCTTTCTCAATTTTACTCCACAATTCACTTCACAACCCGAGCCAATGCTCTAGAGGTTCGGTTATCACTTATACTTTCACAATTTCACTATACAACTTGAGCCAACGCTCCTCAATGTTCATAGGTCACAAACCTTTCCACAAACTTTATACAGCAATTGGAAATCTTCACCAAGGCATGAATAATACAACGAAATCATGAAATTCACAATATAAGACTCACGGTCATGCTTGACACCTACGTATAGATACTCGTCATCATGCCTATACGTCGTACTCAACAAGAAACAAATAACAAATAGGACACAACTCTTAATCCATCAAGCTAAGGTTAGACCAAAAACTTACATCGATGCAACGAACACAATTCAAGCCTCAATTACCGCTTTACCCCTCGATTCCACCACCTATCCGCTCGAATCTAGTCATAAGTTACTTAATTACATCAATAAGTGCTAAATGAATCAACCCCAATGCATGAAAATGAGTTTATCCAAAATTTTATCCAAAAAGTCAAAATCACCCCGGGCCCACGTGGTCGAAACTCGAGGTTCGGACCAAAACCCAATTACCCATTCCCTCACGAATCCAAATATATAATTTGTTTTGAAATTAGACTTCAAATTAAGGTCCAAATCCCCAATTTTAGAAAAAACCTAAGTTCTACCCAAAACACCCAATTTTCCCCATGAACATCTTTGATTTGAAGTTGAAATCATGTTAAAAGATATTAAGAAGTGAAGAAAATGAGTTAGAAATCACTTAATCACATTTTGGAGAAGAAAGGTTATTTGAAAAATCGCCTCTTATATTTTTTTGGGGGGTTTTGAAAAGTGAAAAATAGCTGAAATTCCCGTCTATTTATACCCCTCTCAGACCCCCTGTGCGGACCGCATCAAATGGACCGCAACCGCACAGGCTTCCCCCGGGAACCGCACAAAGGCGATCGCGGCCGCGCTGGCCTCCCTAAAGACTTGCAATTCAGCACCCTGTGCGGACCGCACAAGGCCGACTGCAGCCGCACAGCCTCCACCGCAGACTGCACAAAGGCGAACGCAACTACGCTGGCCCCTCCGCAGTCGCACGTGATTTCTCACGAACCGCATTAGAGGGTTCAGAGATCTGCAACTTTTTCCTAAGTTCAAAACTTGCTGAAACCCATCCGAAACACACTCGAGCCCTCGGGGCTCCTAACCAAACACACGTACTAAATCAACAATATCGTACGAACTTATTCAAGTCCAAAACACGTCAAACGATGTCCGATTTTAACCAAACTTTACAAGAAGGACTTAAAACATATATAAGACTTGTATCGTGCATCGGAACAAAAATACGGACCCGATACCATCATTTTCTAATCAAATTTCATTTCAAATTTCCTCAAACAATTTCTGAAAACAATTTCACTTAAAAATTTATTTCTCGTGCTTGGGACCTCGGAATTCGATTCCAGGCATACGCCCAAGTTCCATATTTTCCTACAAACCCTCTGAGACCGTCAAATCACGGGTCCAGGTCCGTTTACCCAAAAGGTTGACCGAAGTCAAACTAACTCATTTTAAAGTCAAGACTTAACATTTTTCACAGAATTTCATCTTTAAGCTTTCTGGCTACGAACCCGGACTGCGCACGCAAATCAAGGCTACTCTAAATGAGGTTTTCAAGGCCTCGGAAGCACAAAATGGATAAGAAAATAGGTGATGACCCTTTGGGTTGTCACATTAATAGGCCAGAAGCTACATTAATGTTGCATCAGGTGTCATTTAAAACAGCGAGAACAAGGAAACTTGTAATGTTCAAACTCTAAGTTACGATTTATCAATGGCATAAAGAAAATACAGAAATTTCAAACTAAAACATCCACCATTCAGCACTAGTATCTCTTAGATTCAGATAAACACAAATAAATATAGAAATTCGTAGAGATAATACTCCTATGAAATCTGTTTAATAAAAAAATCTGCTCAAAAGAAAGGATAAAATTAAACTGAAACGAGCTATACCTATCAAATGTTTTACTGTCAACGTCGATCCCAATAGTTTCACCGGTAGTTTTTGGTCTCTCGGCTACATATCAAGCCCATATATAATACTTAGGTTAATATTAGCAAGTACAACATATTAAAATATCAAAATTAACTGCATGCAATCGAAATACCAAACAAAGCATTGGGAAAAATCGGACTGAGGAAAATCGAAATACCAAACTGTAGCGAAATCATTGATTATCGGACTAAGGAAAAAGAATTAGAACAAATTGGGAAAATTTTATACATGCATGAACCCTAATAAAGAGAAAAATAACTTTTGGTACTATACATGAACCCTAATCGCTACATTACCTGATTTGAACCTCGATTCTTATCAATTTCATGCCTCAGTTCCAATTGTTTTACCTAAAACAGAGGAATGGTGGATAAGAGTGAGTTTTACCTTCAAGAAAAATGAATCGTGAAATTGGGGTAAGCGTGAGTTTTAACAAAAAATTTTGGAGGGAAAGGATGGAGGGATCTGGAAGGAAAGGATAATTTTTGGGAGGGAAAGGGTAAGTTTCATAACCGAGCAGATAGTCATTTGGGGAATTCTGGAGGGAGTCTCAAAATAATGAGGGGGAAATACTAAAATTTATGGGGGGAATAGTATCGATTGTTGTGAGTAAAATATTACGGCGGTTTTAATCGCCGCTATTGAAAATATTTAATCGGCGGCTGGCAAGACGCCATTTTTAATTAGATTTTGCGGCGGTTTATTCGAACTGCCGTAATATAACCGCCACAATATTTCCATTTTTTTGTAGTGTTTTATTTTTTTTAAACTCATGTGACTAAACTTAGAATAAAACTCTAAGTTGCCTACGTACCTCGGTAAAGAGGATCAAGTCATAACGTAGTTAAGTGGGTGAATTCTTTTTTTTTTATGTCCTAATTTTTCCCTAGGTCGCCTCTCGCGAGGTTTTCAACCTAGCTGACCTTTTTTTTTTGCCTAGACCGCTTCTTTCGAGGTTTTCAACCTAGCAGACTATTTTTTAGACTCATGCGGACCAGGAGTGTAGCAACGTGCAGTTTGGGCTCATGCATCAAGAAGCGTCATGACTTGCAGTTTAGGCTCGTACGTTGAGGAATGTTGAGACTTGCAGTTTAGGCTCGTGCATCGAGGAGCTTCATGACTTACAGTTTAGGCTCGTACGTCGAGAAGCATTGAGACTTGTAGTTTAGGCTCGTGCGTCGAGGAGCTTTATGACTTGTAATTTAGGCTCGTGCGTCGAGGAGCGTAGCAGCATGCAGTTTAGGCTCGTGCATTAAGGAGCTTCATGACTTACAGTTTAGGCTCGTGCGTCGAGGAGCGTAGCAGCATGCAGTTTAGGCTTGTGCATTAAGGAGCTTCATGACTTATAGTTTAGGCTCGTGCGTCGAGGAGCGTTTATTCTTCAAGGATAATACCTC